GCACACTGAAACCCCCCCCCACCCTCCAGTGGAAAAGGAGAAAAGAGAAAGGAAAAGGAGCCCAACCCTGGAATTCCCATGTTTCTATTTTTATTAAGGAGCAGCGGATGTGAAGCACGAGGACAAATGTCCCTTTGGGCTCAAAAGGCGCCTTCTGCTTTACAGCCCTTTTCTTCTGGGGGGGAACTCGGCCGAACAGCAGCCCCACACGGGCTGGCAGCTCGGTGCCCTGTCACCAGTGTCCCCAGCAATGGCACCCCCAGCCCGTGCTGGTGGGACCGCCCAGCTCAGAGTGGTGCTGGGATGGGGCGCTGGTACTGGGGGGTGGGAAGTACCGAGGTGGTGGGAAGCTCCCCAGTTCCCTGCTCCCTCACACCCTCCCCTCACCCACCTGGCTGCAACATGGACGGATGTTTAATTGTACACTCTGATTTTTAATTATTTTTTTCCAGCCAGTTTTGCTCTGCTCAGATTGTAACAGATGTTTGTACTTGTTATAGGTGAAGGGGAAGCTGAGAAAAATTTAAGAAGCCCAAGTGTTTTTTGATTAGAACTTGTTCAAAGTTCTCCAGTGGAGCCGTTTCCACATCAGAAAATTCTGACTATGTGCAATCAAACATTTAATTTCCACGAAGCAATATAAGAGAATTCCTTCAGGTTAGGATCTGTTACAGTGATTAATCAAAGCAGGGCAGCTGAAATGAAACCTTTTATCAAATATTGTGACAAAGGGATAAATTAAAGCATTTATGGAATGCATCAGATTTGTGTCCAAGACTGAAAATTCAAAATCCCAAATTTTTCTGCCTTATGAGGTCCAAATGTGCAGTCTTTCTATTCCAGGACAAGTGTGCAGCAGTTGGGGGGTGCAGGAAGGGACAGGCTGGTCCTGTCAATGCTGAGAGCTCTGAGCTGCAGGATGTGGTGGACAGGGAGCAGCACAGGACCAGACTGGTGCTGCCCTTCTGAATTAATTGCACCAGCCCATCCCAGGGGGAGTTTTAGCTTTTGGGGAGGCAGCAGCACAGCCATTCCCAAGCACCCTCAGAGCAGTAACCCCTCATCCCAGGCACTGCTGCCTTTATTACATGACTTGCAAGCTGGGAGCCCCCTGCCTGGAGCCCCCCAGCTGGGATGGCTGGGGCTGCTGGGGCAGGAGAAGCCCTGGATGCTTGGGCAGGAGCTGAAGATCTCGTGCCCGGAGGCTGGCGAGTGCCCAGCTGTGCAGATCAACTGAGGGAAGGGTTTCATTTAGTGCCGCTGCCCTGGCACAGCTGATGGACACTGATCAAAGGGAAGGATACACACTGAAACGTACACAGTGATTCCATCCCCAAATCCCCACAGACAGACAAATCCATCTGCTGCTGAACTCTGCAGCCAGACCCGAAGGGCCCCAAGGCTGGGCTCGGGAGGTGGCACATGGCTGGAGCCAACGTGGGGACCCATCCCATGGCACAGGGAGGTGACACCGAGGGGCAAAGCCACCCAGAGCCACCAGCCAAGGCAGCAAGCACCCGTCCCTCCCCCTTCCTCTCCATTTCCCAAACAATTTCCTAATCAGCCCTTTCTGTCTGGAGTTTATTAGTGATTCACAGGCCAAGAGGAAATGGCGATTTTTGAGTCCTGGTCTGAGGGAAGGGGTGGAGTTGGTGTCAATATTCCCCTTTTGTAGCTCAGCAGTGGAATCAACCCCAGAGCAAATGTTTGCAGATGCCAGCTCTGCTCTCTTGGCAGAGCTCATCTCCCAAACCAAGATAAACACTTGTTTGAGGAGTCAGAAAAGCAAAGAGGAAGGGGGCTTCTCCCTGGGCATGGGCAGTTTGGCAAGGGGTATCTGTCCCACCACAGGGTCACGGGGCAGAGCTGGGTCCCCATCACCAATGGCTTGTCCCTCTGGTGAGAGGTTCTGTGTGATGTACCATGCCCTGCTCCTGCTTCCCCCCTTGGAGGCCTTGCTGGTCTGTCCCTGGAGAGGAGCAGCAGCACTTGCACAGCCTGGGGTTACTTTTCTTTCCCTCAGCCTAAAAAATTGACTAGGATCTATGAAAACAGGAGAACTGATTTTAAGTTTCGTGAGGCCAATTAGGACAAGCTCTTTATAGCATCTTCCTCCTCCCTCCATTGGCAAGACCTGCCAGACCTCGTGACATGAGGTTTTCCAGCCCCGACCCTGCAGCCACGAAGCAGCACCATGATCCTGGTAGCTCCTGTTCCCACCTGCAGCGTTGGACCCAAAGCCTTGGCCATGGGAAGCCCCTGGAGCCCAGGGACACGGCACCGCCACGAGGCCGGAGCCATCGGTCCACGGCAACCCTGGCTGACCCCATGCTCAGTCCTGGTTTCTGCTGGGTGCTGGGAGAGCTGCTCCCACCCGACCACCAGCTCCTCTGGGACCCCTCTGCTGTGCCCCCCCCCATATTTACTGGGATGTGTTTACGACTCCCGGGCGCGGGGCGGGCGGTGGCCGAGTCAGCGGCGGGGCAGCGCGGGCTGGGGGTCAGCGAGCTGTTTACTTTAATTTCTCTGAGAGCTTTTTGGGAGATTTCCCTCCTCCGTTATTAAACTCAGATGAGCTGCTGGGGAGGTTAAGTCGCATGTGGTTCAGGGCACTTTTTCCTTTTGTACATTTTTTTCCTTTTTTTTTGGTTGTTTTCGCAATGTTTCAGCTTTAACCCTTTGGGGTCGGGCTGAGCCCACTGCTGGGGTGGTGGCTCCAGGGTGACCCGTGTCCTGGGCAGGTTGGTGCCCGGGCGTTCTCAGCCACAGAGGCTGCAGAGCCCTTGGGCTGGTGGCACCGTGCACACACCATGTCTGTCCCAGGGGACACTGGTGAAGGCCACATCCAGTGGAGCCAGCAGGAGATGAGACCGTCCCCACCGGGGGCAGCTCTGTGCATAACGGGGGG